TTTTTTGGAGACAGCATCTCACTCTGTGATCACCCAGGCTGCAGTACAGTGGTGCGATCACAGCTCACTTTAGCCTCAATGTCCCTGAGCTCGGGTGATCTTCCCCTATCAGTCCTGAGTAGCTTGGGCTACAGGCATGCACTACCAGGTCCGGCTAATTCTTTAAATTTTTTTGTAGAGACAGGGGTTTTTGTCATGTTGCCTACACTGGTCTTGAATTCCTGGGATCAACTAATCCACCCATGCTGGCCTCCCAATGTCCTAGGATTATAAGAGTCAGCCACTGCACCAGGCCTCACTTGTTTTTTCTTAAGCAGAAGATCTTTATCTTTTGCTTCCTGAAATTCCTATATCAACTAATACATTTAAAAAAGGAAATCTGTAAAAATTTGCTTTCATGCAAGATGGACTAACAGGGACTGGATTTACTCTCCCACCTGAGGACAAAAACAGAAGTCAAGACAAAATATATAAAACAACAATTTCAAGACACCGAAAAGAAGGCAGGACAGGGCTGTAATTCCTGAGAGAGGAAACAAAAAAACAAAGATGATTCCTGCAATATGCCATTTTACCACCTACAGGCAAGTTCTAGGCTGCAATGCAAGAATAGAGAAGCCCAACACAGCCTGAAAATTTTGCTGAGTTGCAAAGTTTTAGGGTGTGGATGACAGGGGAAAGATGCTTAGAATTTGCAACGCAGTGTTCCTGAAAAGAGGGAGTAGCAAAGAGCAAGGGACAGAGAGAATAGGATTGTGCACAAGAATGTGCATCAGCATGTGTGTGCATATATGCTTTGGAGAAAGGTCCTCCTGAGTCTCTGAGTGAGCACTGTGGATATGTGTGAACAAACCTAAGAGTCACAGTGGAAAGACGACATAATACATGGGGCACTGGGTAGGGTCCTCAGAAATGTATTTCCTTAGTAACATAATAAAATAGTACTGAAGTGTTGGACTTGCACATATACATTTAAAAGATAAACCTCAAAACAATCAAATAGATTCCAGTTAGCTAGACTGTATGTTAGAACAAAATCTAATACCACCTAAAAAGATGCACAAGTTAGAACCCAGTGACATGAAATTCACAATGACATCAATAAAGAAACAAACAACAACAACAACAACAAAAACCAGGCATCCAAAGGAACAGGAAAATATAACCGATAACCAAGAGAAAAAGCAATCAATAAAAATAGACGGAGAATTATCATAAGTATGGAAATCAACAGACAACAATATTGTAACAGCTATTTCTATGTATGTTTCATAATGTTCAAGAAAGCAAAGATAAATATGAACACAACAGAGAGTAAAACAGAAGATATAAAAAAGACCTAATGCAATATTCTATCAATTCACATACACAGACACATAAGGTCTGTTTGTTCCATTTATCAGTAATGTTAAAATTGGTGAGTAGCTTCAGTGTCAACTTGATCCACCGTTTAGTTTCCCCTTAATTTTTCACTATTAGTTTTAGCATTTTTTATCAGTATGTAGATTGAAAGTGTTATTAGGGCTATTAAAATATGCATTTGTTTTGATCATTCCTTCTGAATTTATTAGCTGGGGGGGGCACTAATATAAAGAAAAACTCTCAACTATTTGAGTTCCTGGAACTACTGTTTATATAAAGTGAATTCACTGTATATAAAGTAAAACCTATAAAAAAGCTTCAGAAATATATTAATTTATCAAGACTGAAGAATACAAACTCAATACCCAAAAATCAATTATTTTATTGTTTATTAGCAGCAATCAGAAATTAAAAAAATCCTTTGACTCCATTAAAAGTAGAAAAATGATGATTTATCAAAATACATGTAAGACTTCTACAAAGCTACAAATTTAAAAACTGAAACATTGCTGAGAAAAATTGAAGACGACCTGATTAAAAAGAGATACATCTTGTTTATGGATAAAAATGGCAATTCTCTCCAATGTGTTCTACAGATTATACAATCACAATAAACATCCCAGAGAGTTGTCTTGGAAGTCTGACATAATGACCCTAAAATTTACATGGAAATGTAAAGAGTCTAAAATAGTTAAAACAACTTTGGAAAATAAGAACAAAGTTGAAATATTTATTGTATCAGATTGTGACGTACTATTAAAGCTAGAGTACTCAAGATAATGTGATATTTAATCAACTTACAGATCAATAAAACAGAATAAAGAGAACAAAAGGAGACCCATACATATATGTTCAACTGATTTTTTGCAAAGGTACCAAAGAAATTCAATGGGGAAAGATAATCTTTCCTATAAATGGAGAACAACCAGAAGAAACAAAGGCAGCGGGGGATGAAGTTCTTAATATAACACCATAAACAAAAATTAATTACAAGTGGATGAGAGCCAGGCATAGTGGTTCACATCTGTAATCACTTTGGGAGGCAAAGGCTGGCAGACAGCTTGAGCTTAGGGAGTTTGAGACCAGCCTGGACAACATGGCAAAACCTCGTTTCTACAAAAAAATACAAAAGTTAAGACAGGCGTGATGGCACACCCCTGAAGTCCCAGTTACTCAGGAGGCTGAGGCAGGAGGATCACTTGTGCATGGGAGGTCCAGGCTGCAGTGAGTCATGAGCATGCCACTGCACTCCAGCCTGGGTGATAGAATGAGACTGTCTCAAAACAGGGGAAAAAAAAAAAAAAAAAAAAGAATCAGGAATATAAATTTAAAAATTAAAACTAGAGTAACAATAAAATTTTTGTACATGCCCTATATCAGAAAGTTCCCTTCAGTATGTCTAGTTCGTTCAAATAATTTATTCCAAATGAGTTTTAGATTTTTCTCAGATGCGCTTTTTTTCTATATTTATTGAAAGATTCGTGTGGTTTTTACCTATTATTTTATTAATACAGTATACTAGATTAATTGACTTACAAATGCCAAACCAATCTTCCATTCCTGGGATAATCTCAACTTGGTCATGATATAAAATACTTTATAAATATATACCAGGATTGTGTTTCCTGTCATTTTGTTAACAATTTCCGTATGTATATTCATGAGGAACAATAATCTGGAATTTTCTTTTCTTGAGATCTTTGCCTAGTATTGGTAGCAGTAGTACTGGACCAATAGAAATGAGCTGAGAGCATTTCCTCTACCCTTACCCTATACAAACTCTTTTGGAATATACGTAATAATGCTTCTTATGTTTGAAAACATTCAGCAGTAAAGTTATCTGGGCCTAGACTTCTCTTTGCACTCAAAGTTTCTATTTCTTTTTGAGCCTTTTTTGTAATGTATGTCTTTGCAAGATTTGCCCAATTTATTGATATGAAGTTGTCCACAAAATTCCTTTGAGTGCCAAGCATGGTTGCTCACTCTTATAATCCCAGCACTTTGGAAGGCTGAGGCAGGTGCATCATCTGATGTCAGGAGCTGGAGACCAGCATGGCCAACATGGTGAAACCACGTCTCTACTAAAAATACGAAAATTAGCTGGGCATGGTGGTATGCACCCGTAATGTCAGGTACTCGGGAGGCTGAGGCGGAAGAATCGCTTGAACCTAGGAGGCACGGTTTGCAGTGAGCCAAGATCACGTCATTGCACTCAAGCTTGGGTGACAAGAGCAAAACTTTTTCTCAAAAAAAAAAAAAAAAAAAAAAATCCTTTTTAAAATTTAAATTTCATTAGGATGGTAATGTCTCCTCTTTTACGCCTGATTTTGGAAATGTATAATCTTTCTTTTTTTATGGTTACTCTAACTCAAAGTTTATCAACTTTTGTTGACCTTTTGAAAGAACCAACTTTTTATTTCATTGATGTTTCTCTATTACTTTTGTAGGTTTTAATTTCACTGATGTCCTCCTGAACCTTCCTTCTGCTTGCTTTTGAGTATACTCTGCTCTTTCCATTCTTACGATGAAAACTCAACGTAACTGAATCAAGATCATTCTTTTCTCAAAAATATGATCTAAATTTCCCTGTAAGGACTGCTTTAGTTGTATCCCACAAATTTTTATGTGTGTTCACTTCCATTGAGTTCAAAATCTTTTCTAATTTCTCTTGTGAAGTCTTCCTTGGTTTATCGTTCACTTACAAATTTGTTATCTAAATTCTCATATTTGTTTCTGATACTGATTTATAACTTAATTCCATTGTAGTCAGTGGACAAACTTCAAATGATTTCATTCTTTTAAGTTTATTTAGACTTGTGTTATGGTCCTAGATTATATCCCCTATCCTGCAGAGTGACCCATAAAATCTTGAAAAAAAAAAAAGATTATGTATCAGATCAAAGTGCTTCGTAGTACTTTTCAAGCTCTACCTTTACTAATTTTCAGTCTAGTGGTTCTATTATTGAAAGACTTTTGAAATCACAAGCTCTAACTATTCAACTACTAATCCTTTCAATCTGTCCATTTCTCCTTATTTTGAAGCTCTGCTATTAAATATGCAATAAAAATTGCTATGTATTGCCAATGTATTAATCCTTTTAACATTATGAAATTTTGCTCCTGGTGTCTAGTAATGTATCTTGTCTTAAAATCTATTTCACCTCACATGCTAGTTCTCTCTCATGAATATAGCTTGCCTGGCACATCTCTCCTTTTCAACTTATTTGTGCTTTAAAGCTGAAGTATGTTTCTTATAGACAGCATATAGTGGGATCTTGAATTGTCATAGAACCTGATAATCTCTTTTAATTGGAATGTTTAGACCATGCACATGTAATGAAATTACTGACTTGTCTGGATTATGTCTATTATTTTCCTTTTTTTTTTTTTTTTTTTTTTTTGAGACGGAGTTTCGCTCTTGTTACCCAGGCTGGAGTGCAATGGCGCAATTTCGGCTCACAGCAACCTCCGCCTCCTGGGTTCAGGCAATTCTCCTGCCTCAGCCTCCTGAGTAGTTGGGATTACAGGCATGCTCAGCTGATTTTTTGTCTTTTTAGTAGAGACGGGGTTTCACTATGTTGACCGGGATGGTCTCGATCTCTTGACCTCGTGATCCACCCCCCTCGGCCTCCCAAAGTGCTGGGATTACAGGCGTGAGCCACCGCACCCGGCCTTTTTTTTTTTTTTTTTTGAGATGGAGTCTTGCTCCGTCACCAGGCTAGAGTACAGTTGCACAATCTCAGCTCACTTCAACCTCTGACTCCCAGGTTCAAGAGACTCTCCTGTCTCAGCCTCCCAAGGAGCTAGGACGACAGGCACATACCACCCCATCTGGCTAATTTTTTTGTATTTTTAGTAGAGATGGGGTTTCACCATGTTAGCCAGGCTTTGATCTCCTGACCTCGTGATCCACCCACCACGGCCTCCGAAAGCGCAGGGATTACAGGCATGAGCCACCGTGCCCAGCCCATTTTCCTATTTTTTAAAAGTCTCATCTTTTCTCCTCCTCTTTTCTTCCTGTTCTACCATCATTTCTGTCAAACCAGTATTTTTGTTTAGTGTCCCATTTTAATTCCTTTGTTGATTTTTTTAAATGCTATTTTCGTTACTTTTTTTTTTTAGAGATAGGATCTCACTCTGTTGCCAAGTTGAAGTGAAGTGTCATGATCATAGCTCAATTGCAGCCTTAAACTTCTGGGCTCAAGCCATCCTCTCCCCTCAGCCTTTTGCACAGCAGGGACTACGGGTGTGCACCACCACATGTTTTTTGTAGAGACAACGGCAGATCTCAAACTCCTGGCCTCAAGTGATCCTCTCATCTTGGCCTCTCTCAAATCACTGGTATTAAAGGCATAAGTCACTGTACCTGGATGATTTTGTTATATTCTTGATGGTTAATGTGTGGGATTGCAATATGCTTCAGAAACAAGGAAACGTGGTCCACCCTCACCACTTCCAATCAATAACATAATGGAGACTCTTGCCAGGACAATAAGGCAAGAAAACCCATTAAAGGCATACAGGCTGGAAAGAAAGAAATGAAACTATCTTTATCATAGGAGAGTGATCCCATATATAGGAAATTCTAAGGAACCTACAAATATAAACTACTAAATCTAACAAAAGATTTTATCAAGGTGACAGAATATAAGACCAATAAGCAAAAACCAATTTTATTTCTATATATGAGCAATGAAATGAAAATGAAATTAAGACATAAGTCCATTCATAATCACATTAAGAATAATAAAATATTTTAAAATGATTTAACAAGGCACTGCAGTTCAGGCCAGTTGTTCTGGCACTTCAGGAGGCAAGATATATATAGGGCCAGGCTGGGGAACATAAGAAAAAAAAGAAAATGATTTAACAAAAGTATAAGACTTGTACACTGAAAAATACAAAATATTGCTGAGAGAAGTAAAAAGATAAATATATGCAGAAGAAACCCATGTTCATAGGCTAGAAGACACAATATTGTTAGGACTGCAATTCTTCCCAAATTAGGCTATACATTCAAATTATTTCCTATCGAAACCCCAACCGGCTTTACCGTATAAATTAACAAACAGATCCTTAAATGTATATGGAAAAACAAAAACCTAAAATAGCCAATACCATTATAAAAATGAACAAAGTTGTAAGACTTGCTGGATTTGAAAAGTTACAATAAAGCTAAAATAATCAAGACACTCAGGATTGGTACCAAGACAAAAAAATAGTTAAATGAGACAGAACAAACAGTCCAGAAAACAAACACATACATTTATAGTTAACTGATTTCGAGCAAAGGTACCAAGGCAATTTAATGGGGAGAAAACAGCCTTTTCAATAAACCATGCTGGGTAAAATGAATATGCAAATATCCATATGCAAAAATATATATACAAACAAAACAAAAAAATTACCTTACAATGGCTCACAAGCCAAAACGTAAGAACTAAAAAAAACAAAAAAAAAATTCTAGGAAAAACTTAAGATTAAGTAATTGAGGTTGATTTAGTTGAAGATTTCTTAGCAATGACACCAAAAGCTCTTCTCTCAAAAATAAACCTTAAAATAGATATCATCAATATTAAAGTTTCATGCTTCAAAAGACACTATTAAGGAGCCACAGACAGGCCGGGTGCAGTGGCTCATGCCTGTAATCCCAGCACTTTGGGAGGCTGAGGTGGGTGAATCACAAGGTCAGGAGTTTGAAACCAGCCTGGTCAAGATGGTGAAACCCCATCTCTACCAAAAATACAAAAAAATTAGCTGGGTGCAGTGGCGGGCTCCTGTAATCCCAGGTACTCTGGAAGCTGAGGCAGAAGAATGGCCTGAACCCAGGAGGCAGAGGTTGCACTGAGCCGAGATCATGCCACCGCATTCTAGCCTGAGCAACAGAACAAGGTTCCGACTCAAAAAAAGCAGCAGCCACAGGCTGGCTGGGTGCAGTGGCACACACCTGTAATCTCAGCACTTTGGGAGGCTGAGGCAAGCACATCACTTGACGTCAGGAGCTAAGACCAGCCAGGCCAACATGGTGAAACCCCGTCTCTACTAAAAATACAAAAATTAGCTGGCTGTGGTAGTAAGCGCCTATAGTGCCAGCTACTTGGGAGGCTGAGGCCAGACAACTGCTTGAACCCAGGAGGCGGAGGCTGCAGTGAGCCAAGGTTGGTCTGCAGCCTGGTCAGCAGAGCGAGACTCCGTATATAAAAAAAGAAGCCACAGACTGAGAGAAAATACATGCAAACCATATATACGATATAGAACTTGGATCCAAAATATATACATTCCTACAACTTGATAAGACAGCACAATTTAACAACGGAGAAAAAAATCTGAACAGACACTTCACCAGAGAAGGTACAGGAATATCTAGTAAGCATATAAAAAGTTCTCCTGACACCAAGATGGCCAAGAGAAGCCAGCACCGGAACGCAGCTCCCAGCGAATGAGACGCAGAGGGCTGGAGGACTTCATGGTTCCAAACGAGGTGCTGGATTCTTTTCTACAGAACTGACAGGGCACTGGAATTGGGCCCAAGGAAAGGAGCCGCAAGGCGAGAGCCGCCGGGGGAGGGGAGGCATGGCGGGGAGGGGGGAGTGCAAATCAAGATGGGAGAGGCACGTTCCCATTTGAAACGTGCAGCTGGCTAGGAGGGTCGGGGGACTTCATCCCCTTGGTGCTCCGTTTCAGATCCAGTGCTTGCCTCATCCCTCCTGCAACCCTGGGTCCACGAGAGCCCTGCTAGACGGTGGGGCACGGTGGGTAGCTGATGCGAATCTGGGCAGCAGCTACTGCTGGGCTCCGCAAGTTACCGCAGGGACCTGGGCGGGAGTTTGGACTTACGCCAGCGGGACCATCCCACAGAGGGAGGCAGAGGTGAAAGCAGGGCAACAAGCCCTAAGGCCGGCAGGCCCTAGCCCCACAGAATTCAAACTGAAGCGCTCGCTAGAGAGCTTGGCAGCAAATACACCAGCTTGACCCCAACCAGGAAGGTCGAGCTCTGGGGGAGACGCCATTGGGAAGGCAGGGCCAATTTCACTTGCAAACAAATTCCAAGTTAGGACCACCCACTCAACAACCTGACTGAGCCTAAGAGAGCCCAGCAACGCCCTCTACAGGCCAAAAAACATACAGCTCCAACCTCAACAGAAAAAAACGTCCCCTCAGGGACTCCTGAAAGCACCAACTTCAAAGATTAAAGGGAGATATAACCACAAAGATGGGGGAAAAAACAGCGCAAAAAGGAAGAAACCACCAAAGAACAAAACACCTCTTTTCCTCCCAGGGATCACAACTCCTCACCATCAAGGGAACAAAATGAGACAGAGAATGAATCTGATGAATTGACAGAAGCAGGCTTCAGAAGGTGGGTAATAACAAACTTCTCTTCAGTTAAAAGACCATGTTCTAACCCAGTGCAAAGAAACTAAGAACCTAGAAAAAAGGTTAGACAAAATGCTAACTAGAATAACCAGCTTAGAGAAGAACATAAACGACTTGATGGAGTTGAAAAACACAGCACAAGAACTTTGCAAGGCATACACAAGTTTCAACAGCCAAATCAATCAAGCAGAAAAAAGGATATCAGAGATAGTAGACCAAATCAATGAAATGAAATGAGAAGGCAAGATTAGAGAAAAAAGAGTGAAAAGAAATGAACAAAGCCTCCAAGAACTATGGGTTTTTGTGAAAAAAAAACCTAATCTACGCTAGATCAGCATACCTGAATGTGACGGGGAGAATGAATTGAAGTTAGAAAACACTCTTCAAGATATTATCCAAGAGAACTTTCCCAACCTAACAAGACAGGCCAACATTCAAATCCAGGAAATACAGAGACCACCACAAAAATATTCCTCAAGAAGAGCAACCCCAAGGCACACAGTTGTCAGATTCACCAGGGTTGAAATGAAGGAAAAAATCCTAAGGGCAGCCAGAGGGAAAGGTCGAGTCACCTACAAAGGAAAGCCCATCAGACTCACAGCAGATCTCTTGGCAGAAACCCTGCAAGCTAGAAGGGAGTGGGGGCCAATATTCAACTCCTTAAAGAAAATAACTTTCAACCCAGAATTTCATATCTGGCCAAACTAAGCTTCATAAGTGAAGACGAAATAAAATCCTTAACAGACAAGCAACTGCGGAGAGATTTTGTCGCTACAAGACCTGCCTTACGGGAGCTACTGAAGGAAGTTCTAAACAGTGAAAAGAATAACCAGTACCAGCCACTGCAAAAATGTACCAAATAGTAAAAAATAACGATGCAATAAAGGAGCCATGTCAATTAACAGGCAAAAGAACCAGCCAGCAACAAAATGGCAGGATCAAATTCAAACATAATAATATTAACATTAAATGTAAATGGCCTAAAAGCCCCAGTCAAAAGACACAGACTGGCAAACTGGATAAAAAGTCAAGAACCATTGGTGTGCTGTATTCAGGAGACTCATCTCGCATGCAAAGACTCATATAGACTCAAAATAAAGGGATGGAGGAAGATTTACCAAGAAAATGGAGAGGAAAAAAAAAAAAAATAAGGCAAGCAGGGGTAGCAATCCAAGTCTCTGATAAAACGGACTTTAAGCCAAGAAAGATCAAAAGAGACAAAGAAGGGCATTATATAATGGTAAAAGGATTAATGCAACAAGAGCTAGCTATCCTAAATATTTATGCACCCAATGCAGGAGCACCCAGATACATAAAGCAAGTTCTTCATGACCTACAAAGAGACTTAGACTCCCACACAATAATAGTGGGAGACTTTAACACTCCACTGACAATACTGGACAGATCAACGAGACAGAAAGTCAACAAGGATATCCAGGACTTGAATGCAGATCTGGACCAAGAGGACCTAATAGACGTTTACAGGACACTCTACCCCAAATCCACAGAAAACATTTTCTTCTCAGCACCACATTGCACTTACTTCAAAATTGATGACATAATTGGAAGTAAATCACTCCTCAGCAAATGCAAAAGAACAGAGATCATAACAGTCTCTCAGACCACAGCACAATCAAATTAGAACTCAGGATTAAGAAAAGCACTCAAAACCACGCAATAACATGGAAACTGAACAACTTAGTCCTGAATGACCAATGGGTAAACAATGAAATGAAGGCAGAAATAAAAACGTTCTTTGAAACCAATGAGAATGAAGACACAACATACCAGATCCTGTGGGACGCATTAAAAGCAGTATCTAGAGGGAAATTTATAGCAATAAATGCCCACATGGGAAACAAGGAAAGATCTAAAATCGACACCCTATCATCAAAATTGAAAGAGCTAGAGGAACAAGATCAAAACAACTCAAACGTAGAAGACAAGAAATAACTAAAATCAGAGCAGAACTGAAGGAGACAAAGACACAAAATACCCTTCAAAAAAAAAAATCAATAAATCCAGGAGCTGTTTTTTTTTTTTAAAAAAAAGATCAACAAAATAAACCACTAGCTAGGATAATAAAAAAGAGAGAAGAATCAAATAGATGCAATAAAAAACAATAAAGAGGGGATGACCACCAATTCCTTGTAATACAAACTACCATCAGAGATTACTACAAACAACTCTATGCACATAAACTAGTAAACCTAGAAGAAATGGATAAATTCCTGGACACTTGCACACTCCCAAGACTAAGCCAAGAAAAAGTTGAATCCCTGAATAGACCAATAACAAGGTCTGAAGTTGAAGCAGCAATTAGCCTACCAACAAAAAAAAGTCCAGGTCCAGACGGGTTCACAGCTGTTCTACCAGACATACAAAGAGGAGGTGGTACCACTCCTGTTGAAACTATTCCAAACAATACAAAAAGAGGGAATCCTGCCTAACTCTTTCTATGAGACCAACATCATCCTGATACCAAAATCTGGCAAAGACACAACTAAAAAAGAAAACTACAGGCCAATATCCATGATGAACACTGATGCAATAATCTTCAATAAAATACTGGCAAACCGAATCCAACAGCACATCAAAAAGCTTATCCACCGTGATCAAGTAGGCTTCATACCGGGGATGCAAGGCTGGTTCAACATATGCAAATCTATAAACATAATTCACCACCTAAACAGAACCTAAGACAAAAACCACATGATTATCTCAATAGATGCAAAGAAGGCCTTCGACAAAATTCAACAGCCTTTATGCTAAAAACTCTCAGTAAACTAGGTATTGATGGAATGTATCCCAAAACAATACAAGCTATTTACAACAAACCCACAGCTAATATAATACTGAATGGGCAAAAATTAGAAGCATTCCCTTTAAAAAGAGGCACTAGACAAGGATGCCCTCTCTCACCACTCCTATTCAATATAGTATTGGAAGTTCTAGCCAGAGCAATTAGGCAAGAAAAAGAAATAAAGGGCATTCAATTAGGAAAAGAAGAAATCAAACTGTCCCTATTTGTAGATGACATGATTGTATATTTAGACGACCCCCATCGTCTCAGCCCAAAACCTCCTTAAGCTGATAAGCAACTTCAGCAAAGTCTCAGGATACAAAATCAATGTGCAGCAATCACAAGCATTCCTATATACCAATAACAGAGAGCCAAATCATGAGCGAACTCCCATTTACAACTGCTACAAAGAGAATAAAACACCTAGGGATACAGCTAACAAAGGAGGTAAAAGATGTCTTCAAGGAGAACTATGAACCACCCATCAAGGAAATAAGAGAGGACACAAACAGATGGAAAAATATTCCATGCTCATGGTTAGGAAGAATCAATATTGTGAAAATGGCCATACCGCCCAAAGTAATTTATAGATTCAATGCTATCCCCATCAAGCTACCATTGACCTTCTTCACAGAACCGGAAAAAACCACCTTAAACTTCATATGGAACCAAAAGAGAGCCCGCATAGCCAAGACAATCCTAAGCAAAAGAACAAAGCTGGAGGAATCATGCTACCTGACTTCAAACTATACCACAAGGCTACAGTAATCAAAGTAGCACAGTACTGGTACCAAAACAGAGATACAGACCAATAGAAGAGAACAGAGGCTTTGGAAGCAATGTCACACATCTACAACCATCTGATCTTTGACAAACCGGACCAAAACAAGCAATGGGGAAAGGATTCCCTGTTTAATAAACGGTGTTGGGAAAACTGGCTAGTCATATGCAGGAACCTGAAACTTGACCCCTTCCTTATACCTTATACAAAAATTAATTCCAGATGGATTAAAGATTTAAACATAAGAACTAACACCATAAAAACCCTAGAAGAAAACCTAGGCAAAACCATTCAGGACATAGGCACAGGCAAGGACTTCATTACTAAAACACCAAAAGCAAAGGCAACAAAAGCCAAAATAAGACAAATGGGATCTAATTCAACTTAAGAGCTTCTGCACAGCAAAAGAAACAATCATTAGAGTAAACCAGGAACCAACAGAATGGGAAAAACATTTGCACAATCTGTCCATCAGACAAAGGGCTAATAACCAGAATCTGCAAAGAACTAATGCAGATTTACAGGAAAAAAACAAACCCATCCAAAAGTGGGCCAAAGATATGAACAGACACTTTTCAGAAGAAGACAAATATGCGGCCAACAAACATATGAAAAAATGCTCATCATCATTAGTCATTAGAGAAATGCAAGTCAAAACCACATTGAGATACCATCTCATGCCAGTTAGAATGGCGATCATTAAAAAATCTGGAGACAACAGGTGCTGGAGAGGATGTGGAGAAAAAGGAACACTTTTACACTGTTGGTGGGAGTGTAATTTAGTTCAACCATTATGGAAGACAGTGTGGCGATTCCTCAAGGATCTAGAAACAGAAATTCCATTTGACCCAGCAATCCCATTACTGGGTGTATACCCAAAGGATTATAGATCGTTCTATCATAAAGACACGTGCACACGTATGTTCACTGCGGCGCTGTTTACGATAGCAAAGACCTGGAACCAACCCAAATACCCACTGATGATAGACTGGACAAAAAGAAATGTGACACATATACACATATGGAATACTTTGCAGCCATAAAAAACAATGAGTTCGTATCCTTTGTAGAGACATGGATGAACCCAGAAACCATCATTCTCAGCAAACTGACACAATAACAGAAAACCAAACACAGCATGTTCTCACTCATAGGCAGGTGATGAACAATGGGAACACCTGGGCACAGGGACGGGAACAACACTCACAGGGCTAGGTGGGAGGGTGGAGGGGAGGGGAGGGAGAGGAATAACACCTGGAGAAGTGCCTAATGTAGGCAACGGTGGGGGAGGGATGGAGATAGCAAACCACCATGGCATGTATATACGTATGCAACAATCCTGTAGGATGCAGGACGTGCACATGCACCTCAGAGCCCAAATACAATTAAAAAAAAAAAATCTCCTACATCACTCATCACTACTGAACTACAAATTAAAATCACAGTAAGAAACTGTTAATATATACCCAAACAGTAAATAATATAAAAGACTGTCAATACCAAGTAGTGGTCAAATGTAAAGTGGTACAGTCATTTTGTAAACAATTTGGTCTTTTCCTAAGAAGTTAAGCATGTTATATAAAAAAGTTATAAGTTATATAAAAAGAAGTTCTAAGTTATATAAAACAGAAATTCCACTTCTGCATATCTATAAAAGAAGTGAAAACACATGGCCATATAAAGACTTTCATGCAAATGTTGACAGCATTATTTGTGACAGCCCAAAAGTAAAAACCAAAAATTTTTGAATTTTTTTACCTTCTGAATGGACAAAATGCAGTATCAATGAAGAACTAAAGACAATGTACCACTTTTTTAAAAAACAGACACACTAGCCAGGCATGGTGGCTCACGCCTGTAATCCCAGCACTTTGGGAGGCTGAGGCGGGCAGACTGCCTGTTCCCAGCTCGGGAGTTCGAGACCAGCCTAGGCAACATGGTGAAACCCTATCTCTTCTAAAATATAAAACATTAGTCAGGAATGGTGGCGTGCGCCTGTAGTCCCAGCTACTCGGGAAGCTGAGGCAGGAGAATTCCAAGAACCCAGGAGGCAAAGGTTGCAGTGAGCTGAGATCATGCCACTGCACTCCAGCCTGGGCAAAAGAGTGAGACTCCATCTTAAAAACAAAAAGGACATACTAGAATTGATAATGTGCTAAAACATGGGTGAGCCACAAAAACATTATGCTAAATGAAAAAAACTAATTAAAGAAACTATACAACATATTATTCCATTTACATAAAATAGAAGAAAATGTAAAATACTCTATATTTTACTGTTACAACCAGAAACAGTTGTAAAACTATACAACATATTATTCCATTTACATAAAATAGAAGAAAATATTGTGAAGAAAAATAGAAGAAAAAATAGTGAAACTATACAACATATTATTCCATTTACATAAAATAGAAGAAAATGTAAAATACTCTATATTTTACTGTTACAACCAGAAACAGTGGTTGATGATAAAGGTGTGAAAAGTACAGACTACAGAGGGGCAACCAGGTAAAGGGGGCATGCACAAAAAATTTAAAGGTAAGATTAAATTTGGTGAAAAACTGAATGAATGCTTCCAACTCCCATATCTCCAACCTCAATTACTTTTGTTTTGTTTTGTTTTGTTTTTGAGATGGACTCTCACTCTCTCACCCAGGCTAGAGTGCAGTGGTGCCATCTCTACCCACTGCAATCTCTGCCTCCCAGGTTCAAGCGATTCTCGTGCCTCAGCCTCCTGAGCAGCTGGGTTCACAGATGCACGCCACCACACCTGGCCAATTTTTGTATTTTTAGCAGAGGTGGGGTTTCACTTTGTTGACCAGGCTGGTCTCCAACTGCTGAGCTCAGGTAATCAACCCACCTTAGTATCCCAAAGGGCTGGGATTACAGGCATGAGCTACCACACCCACCCAGCCCCAACTACTTTTTATTAATAGATGGAGAACAAGAATGTTTGCTCCACTCTGTCGCAACAATGTACTACAGTTTTCACCCAGTGCAGTAAGAAAAAAGAAAAGGCATTCAGATCAGGAAAATAAGAAGTGAAGTTGTTTATTCACAGATGATAAGATCACTTAAGTACAAAAATACTAACAAATCTATAAAACAGCAATTAGATTAAGTGATTTAATAAGGTTGTAAGATGTAAGATCACATATTCAATATCTCTACTCTGAAAACTGCAAAACATCACTGAAAGAAATTAAAGACCTAAAGAAATGGAGTGATGTACCTCATTCACGGTTTAAAAGAATCAACTAATAAGACAATCACTTCTCCCCAAACTGGTTTACAGATCAGTGCATTCCCAATCAAAACCCCAGCAGGTATTTTTTTTGTTTGTTTTTAATTAACAAAATGATGCTAGAAATCATATGGAAATGCAAACAACATATGAAAACAAATAACCAAAACAATTTTTATGAAGTTGGAGGATCCATACCACCTAATTTCATACTTATAAAGCTACAGTAATCAGGATAAGTGGTACCGGCACCAAGGTTGAAAAATAAGCAAAACAAAAAGCTGGGAAATACACCCACAACTATATAGTCAATTAATTTCTAATAAAGGTGCAGAGGCATTCCAGAAGACAAAAAACATTTTCATCAACAAATAGTGCTGGAATAACTGAAGATGCACAGGCAAAAAGATAAAATTTGATCCACACCGTATACCATATATAAAAATTAGTTTAAATAGATCACAGACCTACATAGATCATAGTAAAATCTAAAATTGTAAAACACCCAGAAAAAAACTTACAGAAAATTATTTGCAACCTTGGGCTAGTAACAGATTTTACATATGACCCACAAAACACAGTCAAATAAGGGAAAAATAATAAACTGAACATCTGCTCTTTGAAACACAAGAGGGAAAATACAATCCACAGATAGGGAGAAAATATTTGCAAATCACATCCCTGTTAAAGGACTTGTATACAGCATACAAGAACTTTTGAAGCACATAAAGAACTTTTGAAGCACAAAATAAGAATTTTATTCTCAAAAACGGGTCAAAGACTCAAAGAGACACTTCATAAAAGATATACAAATGACAGGCACATGAAAAGATGCTGACCATCATTAATCTTTAGGGAAATGCAAATTTAAACCACAATAAGCTATTACCATATACCAACATGTAAACATGTAACTTACTAGAGGTTACAGTGAGCTATGATTGTGCCACTGTACTTGTCTGGGTGACAGAGCAAGACCCCATCTCAAAAACAAAAAAGTAACTTAAATAAACTGACTATACCCCAAGTGTTAGTGAGAATGTGATTTAGAACAACTGGAACTCTCATATACTGCCAGTGAGAATGTAAAACGATACAACTTTGGAATAAGGCACTTTTTTAAAGGTTAAACATACACCTATCATATAACCTAGTATTGCTAGGTATTTATTCAAAATACATGAAAGTATGTATTCGCTTAAATACAATGTAGCCATCCCACTCCTATATATTATGCAGAGATTAAAGTATATGACCATATACCTTGTACACAAATGTCCACAGCAACATTCTTTGCAAAACAGTCAACAGGCAACAACTCAAAAGTCCATCAGCAGTTGAATGCTAAAGAAATAGTGGTACATCCATGTAAACTAACAATAAAATCCTAAACCCCAATCGACTAAATGGACCCCCTCTTGGCCAAGGGGACCCCACAGAAACCTTGGAAACTGAGTTCTCAGCCATGATGGGAAGGGAGGTCAGACAAGCCTTGTTATATCCCCTCCATTTTGGAGTTTAGACATAACTGATGAGCATTGTTTCTTAAAACAGAGATCATAAGGCTGACAAAACAGACCCTTTGTGGCGGTAAGATGCCAAATTGTAAATATGACCTAAGGCCATATACGGCAAGGATTAAGTCACACCTGCAGATCAATAATCTCACTAAATACCTCATTTTATTGTAACTGACTCTGATACAGCATCCTTAACTTAAACATTCCTTTCTGCTGATTCCAAGTTTTAGACAGAGCCTTACTCCTTTAACCAATTACAATTAAAGAATCTCTGGGTCCCTGTATAATCTATAAGTCCCTGCCTTTTTGGGCCAAACTAATTGCATGCCTTCCACATATTGATTTGTGTTTTTGCCTCTTAACTCCCGCCTCCCTGAAATGTATACAACCAAACTGTAATCCAACCACCTTGGGGCCACTTACTCAAGGCTTCTTTGGTTTGTGTTTTCCCCTGGCCATGGTTATTCATATTGGGTCAGAATAAATCTCTTTAAAATATTTTACAGAGTTTGGTTTTCCTGTTAACATCCATGAGAGAACACTGCAGTAAGAATAAAATATTGATACACATAAGACGAATAAACCTCGAAATAATTTTAATGAGTGCAAGAAGCTGAATGAGAAACAAAAATTTTAGAACATGTAAACTAATCTACATTGATGAAAAATGAGTAATTTTGCCTGGGGACCAAGGAACAGATCAGCTAACTATGAGAGGGAAAGTTTACAAAGCAGCATGAGGAAACTTTTTCAAGTGATAGAATTTATTATCTTTGTTAATACTGGTGGTTTTACAGATGTTTATATATGCCAAATCTTATTAAACTATACAGTAAATCGTACAGTTTAGTGTATGTGTTATACTTCAAAAAAGTTTTAAAAATAAATAAAACAAAAATTCAAGCCAAATTAAGGGGATAAAATGGTTACCAGGCAGCTTGCATCCTGGATATAGAAAGATTCTTACAGAATAATAAAATCGCCTTTGCAAAAGTTATAATAATGAGAAAATTATGACAGTGAAAGAGATCTGCTCTAACCAATCTTCATCTTTCCTTTAACCTCTAAACTGCCCTCAATCATTCCTGGGCTTATGCCACCCTAACTTTGGGAGACATTTATAGTTTAAATGATAATAGCCCTTCCCCAAAACTGAACTGCCTTTGAAAAGCTAATGAAAGAAAGACCACCAGGTTACAAGGACAAGGAGCCTGAATTCTGCTAAGATGTAGACATAAATGATTATCATTACTTATTTCAAAAGTCACAAGATTTGCAACACCCTCAATTACTCCTACAGGTAACAGTGCTATTGTAGAATCTGAGATTGGCCTTTTGAGACATCTTTTCGGGTTTTTAGCATTTCTGATGATTCATCAGTGGCCACGAGGACCCACAGACCCGCACCCCTGCTGACCAGCCCTGTGGCTCCACCCAAAACCCAGACTCCCTGGCCCACCAAACTATCCTTAAAAAATCCTAACCTCCAAATTTTGGGAGAGATTAATTTCAGTAATAAATCCATCTCCATATGGCATGGCCAGCCTTGTGTCAATTAAACTCTTTATTACAATGCCATAGTCTCAGTGAATTGGTTTTGTCTGTACAGTGGGCAGGGAGAATCCACTGGGCAGTTACGATAATAAACAACAGGAGTTTACAACACGCACACCCACAAAACTTAAAACAGATACTTCATTAAAGAAAAAACAGAAAGCAATGGCCAATAAGCATAAGGAAAAGTGTTCAATATCATTATTCATCAAAAACATGAAAATTAAAACTGGTACACACAAATGTGGATATTTGATTTACATAAAAGGTGGCGCTGAATGAGCAGGAAAAAGACATCTAGTTATCCATATGGAAAACCACTCAACATTATACCATATCCAAAACTCAATTCCAGGTAGACTACAGATTTAACTGTGAAAGGAAAACAAGAAAACTTCTGGAAAGGTAGGGGTGTGTGCGTGCGTGTGTGTGTCTGGAAAGGTAGGGGTGTGTGTGTGTGTGTGTGTGTGTGTGTCCATGACCTTGTGAAAGGAAAATACCTTGGGCCTCCAAAATCACTAAGCTAAAGGGAAAAGTCAAGCTGGAAACTGCTTAGGGCAAAGCTGCCACCCATTGTATTCAAAGTCACCCCTCTCCTCACTGAGATAAATCCATATCTGACTGCCTTCTTTGGGGAGGCTAATCAAAAACCCAAAAAAAAAAAAAAAAAAAAAAAAAAAAAACGGCAACTGTCTGCCCAGTGGCTTAGGCCTGTAATCTCAGCACTTTGGGAGGTTGGTGGGGGGGAACACCTGCAGTCAGGAGTTCAAGGCTGGCCTGGACAACATGGTGAAACCCCGTCTCTACTAAAAATACAAAAATTAGCCGGGCATGGTGGCGGACACCTGTAATCCCAGCTACTTGGGAGGCTAAGGTAGGAGAATCATTTGAACCTGGGAGGTGGAAATTGCAGTGAGCCGAGATCATACCATTGCACTCCAGCCTGGGCAACAAGAGCAAAACTCCGTTTCCAAAAAAAAAAAAAAAAAAAAGCAACCATTTGTCTCTAATCTACCTATAAGCCCCCTCCCTGCTTTGAGTAGTCCCATCTTTCCAGACTGAACCAATGCTGATCTTACATATGTTGATTGTCTTATCTCTCCCTAAAATGTATGAAACAAAACTACGCTTTGACCACCTTTGGCACAAGTCATCAGGATCTCCTGAGGCTGTGTCATGGGTGTGTATCCTCAGCCTTGGCAAAATAAACTTTCCGAATGAACTGAGACCTGTCTTAGATTTTTGGGGTTCACAACCTCAGAAACAGAAGAGACAAATTTTTCTACATTAGAATTAACAGCTAGTGTTCATCCAAAGACATTAATAACAAAATGAATATAACAATGAATAAAAAAGAGTGGGGAAAAAGTATTTCCAATAAAAATAACCAAGCAAGGTTTCTTACTCAGAATATGTAAAAAATTTCTACATCTCAGAAAGAAAAAGACAACTTACTAGGAAAATGGGGAACAGATCTGAGAAGTCATCTTACAAAAAAGGTCATTCTAGGCTGAGTGTGGTGGCTCATGCCTCTAATTTCAGCACTTTGGGAGGCCAAGGCAGGCAGATCACTTGAGGCCAGGAGTTCAAGACTAGCCTGGCTAACGTGGTGAAACCTGTCTCTACTAAAGTTACAAAAACTAGCTGGTGTGGTGTCATGTACCTGTAGTCCCACCTACTTGGGAGGCTGAGGCAGGAGAATTGCTTGAACCTGGGAGGTGGAGGTTGCAGTGAACCGAAACTATGCCGCTGCACTCCAGCCTAGGTGACAGAGTAAGACTCTGTCTCAAAAAAAAAAAATTATTCTAATGAAAATGTATTCATCAGCAGTCACTAAAAAGCAAATAAAAACTGTAATAAAATAGAAAAGAATGATTGAAATTAAGCAGCCAAAAACTTTAAAGTAAAAAGACTTATAATACTAAATATTGAGAATGTGGAACAATGGGAACTCTGACACACTCCTGGTAGGTGTGCAAATTACTGCATCAATTTGAAATACAACTTGGAATTAACAAAACTGAATGTAGGCCCACCCTGTTGAGACAGCCAAGGGTAAAGGGGTTCCCAGAAAAACTGTTAACTGGCCTGCGCACTGCCTCTTCCTGCATGGTACCTGGAATTCAATCTGCAAGGCAGGAAGCACATTAGCCGGGACTCTGGTTTTGCAGAGAATCCTTGTTTTCCATTTTTCCTTTTTGCTCAATAAATTCCATTATTCTTATCCTTCAAAGTGTCTGTGAGCCTAATATTTCATGGCTGTGTAACAAGACCCGGCTCTGAGCTGAACTAAGGAGGAAGTCCTAGAACACTGTGAGCCAACAATTCCTTGTTAGGTATATCCAGCAGAAATGCATCCACAAGTGCATCTAATATACAAAAATGTCCACAACTGCCTTATTTATAAGTAATGTTTTAGCCTGTGGATATGCACACCTTAGTAAGTGCCTCACCTCAACTATGGTGTACATATCCACAGGCTAAAACTCTTCAGACATGCAAAACTGATTAAAATTTAGGAAACTGGTGTTGAGGAAAAGTAAGATAGTCAGTTTAAGAAAAGATATGGAAGCTGCCTCTAGGTAGTGACAACGTTCAATTTCTTGATATGGGTGATTAGGCAAATATTCAATGTATAGTAACTCACTAACATGTAGATTTATGTTATATGCACTTCCCTCATACTATATTTCACAATAAAAGAGTTAAACTAGGGAGTGTTAGAACTCAGAAAACAATACTCCACACCAAGCGTGGTGGCTCATGGCTATAATTCCAGCACTTTGGGAGGCTGAGGTGGGTAGATGACCTTATGTTAGGAGTTTGAGACCAGCCGGGCCAACATGGTGAAACCCAATCTCTACCAAAAAGACAAAAAAGTAGCCGGGTATGGTAACATGCATCTATAATCCCAGCTACTTGGGACACTGAGGCAGGAGAGCTGCTTGAGCCCAGGTGGTGGAGGTTGCAGTGAGCAGAGATCACACCACTGCACTCCAGCTTGGGCAACAGAGTGAGACTCTGTCGCAAAAAACAAAAAACAAAACAATGCTCCAAAATATGGTGCTTTGGCATGCTGAGATGCTGAGTTCTTTAAACTAAAGGAGATTGGAACGACTCAAAGGCAAAATTTCTGACCTTCTCTTACCCCTCTTTCTCCCTCAAAGTGAATCACAGAAACCTCTTTCCCAATGTGAGTCACAGAAAGTAGAACTCCTCTTCCCAGAGCAAGCCATAAAACGTAGAAATGTTACTCTCCTTTTTCCCTTGAAAACCCTCATTCCAGAAAAGTCCTGCCCCATACCTGGAAGGAAGGAATGTTACATAGGTCAATAAATCTGAACAGGCCTTGCTGGGTTTGCTCCCTCAGTCCGTTTAGGGTAAAGATTTTAGGTACACAAGGAATTTCCTTATGGAAAAATTATGAGGGAGAATTACTGCACCAAATGTAGGCAAGAGGGACAACATCTGGAACTTAGGCCATTCTCTTATGCTCGTTAGTACTTCCATGCCCACTATTAAAGATTAATAGGGCTGGGCGCAGTGGCTCACGCTGTAATCCCAGCACTTTGGGAGGCCTAGGCGGGTAAATCGCTTGACGTCAGGAGGTCAGACCAGCCTGGCCAACATGGTGAAACCCCATCTATACAAAAATACAAAAATTAGCTGGATGTGGTGGTGCACACCTATAGTCCCAGCTACCTGGGAGGCTGAGGCAGAGGGATCACTTGAACCCGGGAGGCAGAGGTTGAGGTGAGCTGAGACTGCACCACTGAACTCCAGCCTGGGCAATAGAATGAGACTCCGTCTCAAAAAAAAAAAAAAAACACCTCAATAAAGATTAATGCAAAACAGCCAGGTGAGATGGCTTAAGCCTGTAATTCTAGCACTTTGGGAGGCCAAGACAGGCAGATCACTTGAGGTCAGGAGTTTGAGGCCAGCCTGACCAATATGGTACCCTATCTCTAGAAAAAATACAAAAATGAAGCCTGACCAATATGGTACCCTATCTCTAGAAAAAAATACAAAAATGAGCTGCGTGTGGTGGTGCATACCTGTAATCCCAGCTACTTGGGAGACTGAGGCAGGAGAGCTGCCTGAATCCCAGGAGACGGAGGTTGCAGTGTGCTGGGATCACATCACTGCACTCCAGCCTGAGTAAAGCAGTAAGACTCCGTCACACACACAAAAAAAGGTTAATGGAAAACTACAGCAACCAAGAAAAAGGCAGGACAATTGAAGACCCACCAAAAGGAAAGTTTTATTCTAACCACAAAGAACACAGAACAGAAGTTTTAGCTGAGACAAGAAATACTGAATGGACAGTGAAAGATGACAGAGGCATCTACTATAGCCTTGGGACCAATTATAGAAACAAGGACTGTAGTAAGCTTCTCACATTTTTTCTTTGCTTACTATATATATAGTAGAAGATATTGAAGGTAAACTTTATAAGGTAGTCTTTAGTTCACAGAATATTCAGAGGCACTATGAAAGAATATATATAAATATAGCTAGGAATGATTGTTGTGATTGTGTGTCTCCTTATCTGGGGGAAAGGGTAAAAACTTCATTTGTATAAAGGATAGTTATATCTTGCTGGTAGACACAGACTGTTGAATGGTGTTTAGAAGCATTCGTAAGGAAGCTGAGCAGCCAAGGGAGGAGACTGTGACAGTTTTTTATTGCCTCTCCAAACATACTGGCTCTTGGCTTCAAATCTACCCTTTATTGCCCTACTTTGTGATAAGGATGTGAATTCTGTAAATGTTCTCCTTTGCCAACTGAAAATATTACAGCTTTATCAGCAGAGGGTGCTAGAGGAACACTTCAGTAGGAAAGTCTTTACTCTGCAACTGGGGGGTTTCCTGTCTCTGTCCCCAGCTTCAGGGGCCATCTGCCTCATGGTAGTTGGGGGGGGAGGCGGGGTCTCCTACGTGCCACTCCTGGTCAGCAGTTTCCTTCCTGGCATCCTTGACCAGATGACTGTGAACCAGTTCTGGCCCACAGCAACTCAGTGAACATTTCTGCTATTTATTGGGCTGCAACTAGCATATTCTTCAACAAAGTCTGAACTCTACAGTTATGGGGAAGGGGTCTCCCTTTCAAGTTTGTTCTGTCCTTGGAAACTCACTCTCCGTTGTAGGGTATTCTGCTTTATCCTTCTTGGTAGCTTGATCCCTTGAAATAGTTTAATTTTAAAATTAAACTTTACCTGCTCAGGCCAGGCACAGTGGCTCATGCCTGTAATCCCAGCACTCTGGGAGGCCAAGGGGGGCAGATCACTTGAGGTCAGGAGCTTGAGACCAGCCTGGCCAACATGGTGAAACCCTGTCTCTACTAAAAATATAAAAATTAGCTGGGCGTAGTGGAACACACTTATAATCCCAGCTATTCCGAAGGTTGAGGCAGGAGAATGGCTTGAACCTGGAAGGTGCAGGCTGTGGTGAGCCAAGACTGTGCCACTGCCCTCCAGGCTAGGCAACAGAGACTGTCTCAAATTAAATAAATAAATAAATAAATAAATTAAGTAAATAAATAATTGAACTACCTGTTCCAATTAGTGTGGTTTCTGTATTCTGACTGAAGCCGCAAAAATTATTTACTGCTTAATATATGCTAAGCACTATTCTAGGCAGTTTGTTTGCAGTAACTCACTAATCCTAAAAATGAACCTCTAATAGCCAATTATAAATCTTTCACGCAAAAGATACAAATTCTCTATTCAGCATTATTCTTTAAAGATTAAACTTCCATAATCATGTTTGCTGAACAGTTCATGATTACATTAATGCACATCATGACTGTTCTAAAATCTCAAACATTCCTATTATTTATTTAAAAAGATAAACATTGTCTTGATTACAAACTACTAATGAATTACTGCAGCTGATTAAGGGCTATTAAAAGTCCTCATAATACATTCTTGACTATTCAGAACAGCAGGAGTGCTAAAAAAAAAAAAAAGAATACTAATAATCTTAAAACATAACTGTAGGCAGTTATCAATCCAGTTTATTGAGTTCTCAAGGGCTAACAATACAAATTCATTAATATGAGTTTCACAAATTCCTTTTCACGAAAAGGAACAACGGCCAAAAGGCACAATGACTATATATTTATAAATACAGTCAACTTCATGTGTTATTCAACTAGTCAACAGCACATTTCATTTAACCAAAGGCCAATGACGTAAAGTTTCAGGAGTTAAGACATGAATTCTAAAATGACATCTAAATTGAGATATCCCATATCCTGACATTTATGTTAAATACTTACGCCACTAAATTAACTACAATTTGAAATCTTATTTTGAAAGCCTAGAAATTTCTTCTCAATATTATGGGAAAAGAGTCACTAAAAATTATATTTTTACGTCACCAAAGCTTAAGTTGAGACCCTAAAATCTTAAAAATTACTAAGAGAATTCCACAATTGACCTTCTTTTCACCACCCTTCTCTTCCTTTACCTAGTAGTTATGATGATAATTAACCATTATTTTTAACAGCCAGGTACTCAGTTCTAAAAGCTTTATAATAGAGTAAATCATTTATTTCTTAGAACTAGCCTATGCTATGAAAGTGGTTCTATTACTTGGCTCATTTTACAAATGAGCAAAGTAAGGCACAAAGAAATTAAGTAATCTGCCCCAAAAATGGTAAAGCAGGTATGAACTCATGAAGTATGGCTCCAGAGTGTGAGTCCATATAGACTTCTGTTGAGAGCACTGATAGTGGTTTCCTAAAACCTCATGACAATACTTAAGTAGGTACAATTATTATCCCCATTTTTCAGTCAAGAAAACTAAAATTTGTCCCAAGTCACATAACTAGTGATGAAATCAGAATTTTAACTTAGTTGATTTACTCCAAAAACCAGTTTCTTAACTATTATATCACCTCTATGCATCTAATAACAGCAATGAATCCAAAATCCATTAGATATATCAAATTGTACATAAAACTTATTTTCAAAGGGGAAGAACATGTCATAATGTAAACTTGATTATACCCTCAGAAATACAAAAGATTAACTGATTCCTGCCAAGTATTTCCAATGGTGCCAACAAGCAAAGACATTTAAAAGATGTATCACCAATTGAAAGAAAATACACATCCTATACAAAATAGTTTTGAGAAAAAATAAATGATTGTAATATTAACTTTGCCTGCCATATGCAATAAGCAGCAAATGTAAACGTACCTGCAAGGAGGTAAGACCATGGAGTCTTTCACAAGCACAGATCCAGAAAGCAGGATGTACCAACATCTGGCAATTGTCTCTGAACTGTATAAATAAGTAAATAAGTGAGTTTAAAAATACACATGATCATATGTATATGAATTCAATATAAAATATATTCTGTTAATAGTACAAATAATTAAAAATTAAGTAATGCTATCTGGAAATTGGGATATTTTGCCTGTTGCCTAAGGTTTCACATAGACCATGTTTACATGAAATAAAAGTATAATCACTACCTTAAGGTATAAATTTCATAATATGTTTATTATCATCTTACTAATTATATTATTAACTTCACATCCTTCATTTTTGTGTATCAGATGTTTAAGATTAACTTAAATATTGTACTATATCTGCATATTAGAAAATTTTCATTTTAATAATTTTATGTATATTGAAGACTATTATTTGGAAATCATACTTTTATTAATTTTTTCTTTTTTGAGACAAAGTCTCACTCTGTCACCCGGGCTGGAGTGCAGTGGTGCGATCTCCCCTCACTGCCATCTCCAGCAACCTCTGACCTCCTGGGTTCAAGTGATTCTTCTGCCTCAGCCTCCCAAGTAGCTGGGACTACAAGCGTGTGCCACCATATCCAGCTAATTTTTTTATTTTTTAGTAAAGACAAGGTTTCACCATATTAGACAGGCTGGTCTTGAACTCCTGACCTCGTGATCCACCCACCTGGGCCTCCCAAACTGCTTGAACCTGGGAGGTTGAGCCTCCATGCCCAACCTGTATTTTTATGTTTTACCTTCATTTTCAATTACAATTTAGATCAGAGTGACCTGTTTATTTCTTCTAATTTTTATTAGAACAAACATTAAAAAAAATCCACCCAAGCTTCCATTTTATATGTGTTTGGGGGATAAATACCAAATGACTTAAATATGTCAACATTTTAGTTAGGTTAAATCTCCAATGGAATTCCATTATCTTGTGAGATACTAGTTTATATAATCTCATTTCTTTCTGTTTCTCTCTCTTTCAGATATTTTTATCTACCACATGTAAACCTTCAATTAATTCGAATGTCTAGAAGATTCTAATATCTACTAAAAAAAAAAAAATAACAACCAAATCTTTCCTCTGAATTACAGAACTATATACCTACCTGGCTGTTCATTTGACATGTCACTTGTATATTTAAAAGACAACTCAAGTTCAACAGTTCAGAATCTACTTCACTACCATGTCCTTCACACTTAGATCTTAAAGCATTCTCCCTTCAATAAATAGTAGTGCCATTCTTCATTCAGAAACCATAACATCCAGAGTAAGGTTTCTGAATCAATACTATTGCTTATCACAAAACGGGAAAACTGTCAGCTTTCCAGCAGGTATATAAAAATTCTTTTTTTTTTTTTTTGTTCCAAGAACTATTACAAATTCTTTATATCACTTTTCCTCTTAACCAAGGGAAGGTGCAAATCTCCTACTTAAGGTTCTTTTGTTTAAAAATCCTACTTCCTTTTTTTGAACAGGATTTTTTTTTTTTCTTTTTAAAGAGAACGGGTTTTGCTATGTTGCCTAGGCTGGAGTGAGTGGCTATCAACAGGTAGAATCATAACAGCAATACAGCGTCAAACTCCAGGTCTCAAGTAATCTTCCAGCCTGAGTAGTGGGGACTACAGGCATGTAACAATGTGCTGGGATGAAATATGACTTCAAGGCATACCCATAATCCCAACACTTTGGGAGGCTGAGGCAGGAGGAGAGACTAATTCAAGACCCGCCTGAGCAATACAGTAAGACCTTATCTCTACAAATAACTTAAAAATTGGCCAGGTATGGTGATGCATGCCTGTGGTTCCAGCTTCTTGGAAAGCTGAGGTGGGAGAGTTGCTTGAGCCCAGGTAGTCAAGGCTGAAATATGACTTTATTATTTTATTTTATTTTTACTTTTTACAGAGTCTCCTCCTGTTGCCCAGGCTGGAATGCAGAGTGGTTCAATCATAGCTCAATATAACCTCGAATTTCTGGGGTTAAGCAATCCTCCTGACTTCAGCATTCTCAGTAGCTAGGACTACAGGTGCATGCTACCACACTCGGCTAATTTTTTAATTATTTGTAGGCACTGGGGTCACACTGTTTTGAGCAGGCTGGTTTCAAACTTCTAGCGTCAAGTGATCCTCCTGGTTTGGCCTCCCAAAGTGCTGAGATTATAGGCATGAGCCACCAAACCAGCCTGAGATGTGGCTTTAAAAAAAAATCAATAAGGAATAAAATCAATTAAGGATAAATTTGCCGAAAATTAATATAAAAGAAAATTATGATTAGATACCACCACAGGCCTACAATTTTTATCTCAATTGGCTGAAGTCTTCATGGAGTTGTCATTAAATTCTCTGTAAATGCAGGAAAGATCCTGAAGATCACTCCCACTACCAAAAGAGACATGCCAACTCAGGAATCAGAAACTATTCTGACCTTGCAAAAAATTCCACCCTAAGAACACTGGCAATTCATCTGATAAATAAACCCAAAGCACATGAAACCCTTTAACATGAGGCTATGCTGTCTCTATCTCTTTGCCAGCAAATGAATGCAATAATATAGATCTACTCCAGAAAAGCGAGATATGCTTAATTTCAACAGATCTTATTTCTTTAAAGGCTTCACACTGCTCCTAAGATAAAGACAAAAAGTTTTTTTTTTTCTTTTTTTTCCTGAGATAGAGTTTCGCTCTTGTTGCCCACGCTGGAGTGCAACGGTGCCATCTTGGCTCACTGCAACCTCTGCCTCCCAGGTTCAAGTGATTCTCCTGCCTCAGCTTCCCAAGTAGCTGGGATTACAGGCATGCGCCACCACACCCAACTAATTTTGTATTTTTAGTAGAGATGGGGTTTCTCCATGTTGGTCAGGCTGGTCTCAAACTCCCCTCCAAAAGTGCTGGGATTACAGGCGTGAGCCACCATGCTTGGCCGACAAAAAACTCTTAACAAGGCTTCCACATGCCTCTCCAGACCTCTCTTTTTCTTTTCCTTTGCTCCTGACACTGGAAAATACTAGCTTATTTTCATTCTATCCAATGACAAAAAGAAAGTATACACACTCCTTTCTCTGTCTCTACAAACCTCTAAACTTAAAACTC